TTGTTTACATCACACAGGCAACACTGTGGCACCGCTGCACCACTGCAGAGCAGTGATCCTGTTAAGCACACACACCAACAATACACACACACACGCAGGCACTCGGAAACAAACGCCTCAACACCCCCGACTTTGTGCAGAACGCTCTGTAATTCTACCCCCCAGGCTGCAACCACAGGCCATCCGGAGACACGCCCAGGACCCGGTTTGCTCGTGGGCATCGGAGCAGGAGCACGACTTGATAGGTCAAATCTTTTTTTAGGTGACAGGCGGCCTAAAGCTGAACCCCTTTTTTCCACTTCCCTGTTTTTGTAAGTGAGCAGTCAGACAGACATCGGCATTTTCGGCATGTGATGGGCCACGGCTGCACGCCTAATTTCATCAGACAGTTGTTGTTATGACCGATGTTAGAGTTATGGAGGAGTGAATTTCCAAACACCAAGGCATTTATATCATCGTAGAATTACGGTGAATAGCCAATGTCTCATGACAGTGGAATTGGTGTTGATTGGGCAAAAGCATCTGTGACATCACCCATACGTTTCTGGGGGCACATTATGAATCCTTTATTTACTTTTTTAAAGCTTTCCACCATCGTTTATTCAAGTACTTGAACGTCAATATTCAAATTTCAGGAAATGTCGAGTGGTGTCTGGTCAGAGCCGAGCTGGGATGGCAACCTATGATGGCAACTTGTGATTCTTCCCGGAGAATGTCCCCACAGACACCCAGTTCGTAATACTGCAAACGCGCAGGCTTCCATCAGTGGGCCATAGGCTCAATCCCCAATGTGGTACCTCATTCGGCGATGTAAAGCGACTTAACAGGCATTTATTTGAATGAAAATCTTCAAGATTATTATTCTAAGCCTCAAAATATCTTTTCTGAGAGTCTTACTTATGAAATTAAAACCTCTCAAGGTCCCATTTTTTGTGTGGATAGGTTTGCTGACTTTGTATTCACAGAGGGAAGTAGAGGGTTTTCCCATTGATTTCACACAGGAGATGGGTGTACTGTATGAAACCAAGACATCATTAACTTATTTTACCTAGCTGTTAAATAACTCATTGGCCACGCAACAAAACATACTCATTTTATCTCGATCTTTTGCTTAACCTAACCGAATGCTTTTGTTGCGCAAGAAAACAAAGAAAGTAAGTCAACGTTGGAAGGTTATTTCTGTAAAGACACTATGCATGTACTGAGTGGAAACATGTCTTATAAAAAACTAACCCAGATGATCAGGGTTATCTCAGCAACAAATGTATAATATATCATTTTTAACCAAAAGCTGGGGTTGGGGACTTTGTGGGAGACAAAAGACACGACCGAGTTGCATTCTGGAAGTTGTAGGATCAAATGTTTTTGGAGTTTGATCCACATTAGGGACTAAAAGTCAGCATATCTCCGCCTCTGCTGCTTTCTTTTTGACAATTCTTATTTTTAATCCGTCTCTTGCAGGTCTCCCAACTTTGTGGAAGTGCCACACTGAATCACTGGAGCAGCCCTTTAATGTAGTTATTTGTGCCTTAACATCCAGCCGGGCAGTTGCTGGTTGGGTCCAGTCAGGGCTGGTTGATTCCCTGTCGAAATAAAACCACATTTCCAACAAAACCCCCCTTCTTTCACAGCAAATGCTGCTTTTTTTCTCGTTTGTTTAAAGTGTTCACTTTGACCTCTCTAAAGAGGGTCCCGGGAGGATTTTATGTGTGAACGCTTTTGTTATCAAAACTGCTGAATCATGACTTTTTTCTTTCTACCATCTGCTGCTGTGAGACACTCTGACACCTCCCTTTTGTACTAAATAACGTAATGCTGGAATGATTTTGGAATACCATACGCAGCATTATTAACCACTGCCTAACATTTACAGGAACTGAGCCTAATCATGACCACAGCACAAAGGACAACTTAGCCCACCCACCTGAAACTTGATATGAGCAACAGGCGGAAGCACCTGTCTTTACATTTCTAAACAGCATGAGCGGTTAATGTGCACGTGGACGGAGGGGCCGCTGCGCCCCAAAGGAAGAGCCGCGAGGCACGGCGGTGACCGTCCGCTGCACACAAACCCTGTGACGAGGCTTAGTGACTCGTGCTTAGTGGGCAACACGCTTTACCACAGAGCAGGAAGTAAGTAGACTGAGGCACCGAGCAGCAGATTCAAACGGCTCAATATTGTGGTTCTTTCAGAAATTGTTGCAGGTTTTTCCCAGGGGACGACTCGACTCACTGTACACAGACAGAAAACAATCAAGCTACTGTTTAGTCTGGTGTGTGTGTGTGTGTGTGTGTGTTGGAACACGTCTGTTACATAATGAGGTGTGTGCATACAAACATTTGAGTGTGGGATGTTTGTATATCTGTGTGTGGCAGAAGACATTATCTGTAATTACTATCCATTTAAAGGGACACACACAAACACACACGCGGCATGCAGCGCAGCAGCACCTGTTGCTGCTGTGTTGTCCTCGGGCCCATTTCAGCTCACAGAGACAGACATCGCTGACAATAGATTATTTATGCGTGGAATAGATATTTTGAGTCTGCTGCTGGTGACTTGGAACTGAGCTGTGAAAGTAGAACTCACAAAACGTCGGCCTCTGCAGTCTTGGTTTCCCGGTTCGGGCGGATTCTCTGAGTCGTGCATTTCTTAAAGCGATAGGAGCGGCGGCCGGCCGGTAGCTTGTTTAAAGGGTTAATATAAAATGTTTAGTGTTTTTTTTACGTCACTTAAAATGTATTAACCAGGGAGACGGAGATGGACGAAACAGGGCAACGATTTACGGGATGTCACTGAAGTTGTGTTATGTCTTATAACCAAAACGGGTTGCTTTGGAGAGCCAGCTTTTCCATTTTAAATATTTTAAACCATTGCCACAAATACACTAGTGAGCTGGCTTATTCACAGCAGAGATTTTGACTTACTGCCGACATTACCGACGGCTCTGTTGTAAATGGAACTGAGCCGTCCATCGAGGATCCATCATGAAAATTTGTCCACGTGACAGATACGGCGTTTACCTTTGAAATGGAAGCTGGATCGCATGACACTCAGAAATCCATCTCGTCAGGCTTCGAGTGATGCTTTTGTGTCCGGTGAGCCAGAGCACGGACCCAATCAGCATCCCGTTTAGGAGCTACTGGTAGCTATGGGCGTGGCTAAGGTGTGTGTGACACGACGCGGAGAGGAGGGAGAGGTTAGCGTAGCTGCTGCATTAGCATCGGTTCTATCAGAACTGGGGAGTGTTTCTTTATTGAAAGAAATAGGAGCAAAGAACGACACTGAAGGCTTTTCTCCGTGGAAAAGATGTTCTCACTCCTCTGCAGACTGGCTTTGGCATGAGTTTAAATGACTGATGGTTCATCCAATCACCTGCCACATATTTTTTTTCAACTTGGCTGGTCAGGTTAGGACAGTTCCCGCTTGTTACATGCAAAGCGTCCTTTCAAAATAAACTTCCAATGTAGGATTACTTAGTTTTTAGGATTACTTGGTTAGGTTTAGGCCTCAAGAGTACTCGGTTAGGTTGAGGAAAAGATGGTGGTTTAGGAAAAGTAGGTGTGCTATGTAAAATAAGTACTCTCGTTATGTTACTTACGTACGTGGCGTTAGTTAAGTACGTAACAAGTACGGTACAGTAAGTAAATGTTGACTTGGTTTCACGCGGGTTTCCTGAGTGAAAGTCCTGTGTTTGTTTGACGAAACCTTCCACCCTAACCTCCTCCTACGCGGCCTTCTTCGCTCTTTTTACTGTGTCAGATGCTCTGAGAGTCTAATAATTAAACAGATGGGTTTATGTAGGAGTTAGTTGAAAGCCTGGAGCGTCTCATGCAGACGCTAAAGGGTGCCTCGGTGCCGAGCGTCGGTCTTTGACGAGCTGGTGTTGAGTCCAGGTTGAGACCCGAGGCTATACTTTCCCATTATTTTATCTATAACTGACCATTATCTTGGCAGCCTAAATGCAACGCGTTGGCTACTCTCTGTCTCGTTTATTTTGGGTGGAGTAGCAGAACGTTACTTAAGTCTTAGATATGGTGTAAAATATAGTTACAGTTACACTACATTGGGTGTTTTTGCTTTGGCAGACATGTTCACATAATAGACATTCAAATTCTAAGTTGTTTTTTTATAAATCAAGTCCTTAGAACCTGGTGAAACGAATGTGAGGTCAAAGACAAACCTTGCTGTTAAATTAAAAGTTGAAATAATCCCCACATAGCCAAGCCTCTGTGATTATGTCCCATCTTTTTCCTATTATCCTGTCTTGATACCAAAAAAAAAGAAGAAGTGAATTTGACGTCTGCGTCACAGTGAGGAGACGAAGGCAAAGTCTGAGGGTGAGGAGAGCTCAAGCAGTTTACAGATCCAACAACATTCAACACGTCTGGCATAACAAAGGGACACCTCCACCGTGTGAATGAGGGAAATCCTGTCTAATTACAAAGGCATCCACCCACCACCCACTCATAAATTAAACTGATGGTGATAGTAAAACGTCCTTTTCCACTGGAAAAAAAATCACTTTTTTTTATCACAGTTTCAATTTATTTGCTGATTAAAACCCACGCGACTGTATTAAATGTACTTCCTTTCTCTCTACTTGCTCCAAATCAAACCGTGTCTTTGTTGAGACGGGGTCAGAGGACTGACATTTCCAGTTGTTTGTCCGACACAGAGCGTTTACAGGGTGAACAATGGGCCGCTGACTTTCTCCATCCTTCCAACTGGAGACCCTTTTGTGTCGCTCACCCACAGAGGGAATGAATGAATGACAGACACACTGTTGGGGTGTTTTAAACCTGAAAGATGTCTCTCTTGGAGTTTATCTAGCAGGCAAAGTTGGACATTATTTCTGGATACTTGATTTGAAGTTCAGTATGGGACCAAAAAAAACAAAACAAAAAACAGGCACTGTCCCTTTAAATGGAGAACCTGCTGGTGGAGTCCTTAGAAATAAAGAATAAAAAAACCAAACAGGGAGGTTGGGTGTACTCACCACTGCGGACGCACACAGGGCAGACATCGTCCTGGTGCGCTAAATACAGATGAGGGTCGAGCAAACGTCTTTGTCCAAGTTGCCTGCTGGAGAAACACTTCTCATCCCTAGATGTTCCTCCTCCTGATCATCATCCTCCTCCGTGGCTTGCTGGAGGAGAGGAGCTCTGGTGCAGCAGTAGTCTCAACTGCAGGGTTTTGTAGTCCGTGTCTCCAGGTGGACCGGTTTCAGGTAGTACGGGACCAGGGCTTGGCACAGAAGGAACGCTGTGTTGGTGATTCCCATTGCGATGATGGATGAGGGCCACGCTGGGGGGGAATCGCAACCTCGCCTCGCCCCGTCCAGGTTCGTCAGTGTGCAGTGCGGCTCGCTCGCTCTCTCTCTCTCTCTCTCTCTCTCTCTCTCTCTCTCTTCGGCGCTGCGTAGCGCCACACAGCCCTGCTGCTATGACGTAGGCAAAGAGGGGCGGGCGTTAGTGACGCGCCTCGGCCAATCGCAGCTTCGTAAGAGCCGTGCACGTGTGCGGTTGAACCCCGTCGTATATCGGGAAGGGGGGACGTTGTTCTTGCAGGTGAACACGGGTTCAGGCCCAGGACATCATGTCCTTGGTGTGCTGTGAGACATAACAGTATGATTTTTTTTGTAACCTTAAGCTTAACAAGATATTATTTAATTTTTCTTACATTTGTTAGCCTCCACGGCATGTTTTTATTTTTTGTTTTGTATGCAAGACAAAAACTTGTTTTATTTGTATTTACTTGTATTTATTTCAATAAAGTTGTCCACGTCTTTCAGTCAGAATCAAGTCTATTATCAACACATTCTCACACTGATGCGGCAAAACAATACACCTTGGTCCGTGGCACTACGCCTCAACTATATGCTTGTTACATGCAGAGTGTCTTTTCAAAATAAACTTCCTTCTCCACAGGAAGTTAGGTTTAAGCAATAAAACTACTTAGTTAAGTTTAGGAGAAGAGCGTGGTTTACATTGATGTGACTGACGACTCTTAGCTAGTAGCTAGTGACAAACAAGTCGCTGGTCACGCTAGTGACTCGTGACGAACTACACTAACGACTCACATGACTGACGACTCACTTGACAAATTGTCAACATTGGTCAACAAGTGGTCTCCTGGAAGAAAGTGAGGGAGGGGCAAAAAAGTCACGTGACTAATGCCACTAATGACTCACATGACTAACGACACTAATGAGTTAATTGACTAACGACTCAGGTGACATAATACCAACTTTACTTTTAGTTTTGCACGGGAACTGCGGTCTCCAGGATGAAAGTCGAGCCGGAGAAAAACGACTCACGTGACTAACGACTCACGTGACTAACGACTCACGATGCTTCAAAAACTAACACAAATTTTTCATGACTCGTTCGTGACTCACTCGTTATTTGGCACATTGGGAGTTTTATCTCATGGATAAAATGACATCTTCCATTAAAAGCTTAGGCTACTAATTCCATCTTACATTTTTTTGTGGGGGGGTCGGGGTTTGTCTTGGAAAGGGCCTGGCATTGAAGAGAATAGTGGACCTCAGGCCCCAACATAACGAGGTCCTTAAAGTAGCCAAGTTATAACATTTAAGAATATGATCAGTTTACTGTAGTCAGTTGCATCATTGTATGTACAAACATTACTGACACTAATAAACCTTCAGCAACATCAGAGAAGTTTAGTCACTTAGACAGAATTATTATTTAACATCTCTGCCTGTATTAAGACAATCAGCCATTCAGTTAGAGAGCGATAGCAGGTTTTTATACTGGAGCTGCATTTGGTCCAGCACTTCACCTTAATTCTGTAAGTAGAACATGATTCCAGAAAAGTCTTATGTGGTTTACTTTTATTATGAAATACAGTAATACAGTATTCCATTCTCCCTTAATGTCCCCTTTACTTGCTTCTAAGGTTGCCCCTGTGAATGCAGATAACAAAGCGGTAATGGCTTTTTGAGCTCAGATGTATAGGCTACCCCCTCACACTCCCCTGAAGTGTGATACAGCCGGGTTTTCCATTACGAAGCCATTACAGTAACCTTGTCATCCAGTTCCCCCACAGCATTAGGCCATTCTCTGTGTATTTTGATTTTTTTTTAATAGAAAGTGCAGAGTCATGCTCAATGTATGAATAATTTAACAGCCTTTTTGATGTGCCCTGAATTGTGCCCATTGACCTACTGTAGTGTTACCTGAGGTACTGTAGTCATTTTGATAGGGAAAATGAAAAGACGACAAACGTATGGCCAATAGAAAGATGAACAACCACCTACGTCTGCTAGATAGACAAATGAATTAGCGCTGTGATATTTTATTCACTTTTTGCAATTAACTTATTTACCCCGGGCTGGGCTGTCATGTCAGTTTTACCGCAGCAGGGGTCTGACGGTCTGCCCCGCTCAGTCCTGGTTCTGGTTCTCCCTGTGCCTCCCTTCGCTTCAGCAGGCTCAGCAATACATCCTGGGTCTCCAGCAGCGTGGTGTTGGTGTCGGCTCCCAGCGGGGACCGGAGGAACAGCGAGGCGAAGCTCTGCTCCAGGCAGAAGTGTCTCCTCCTCCAGGCCAGGAGCTGAGCCCTCCTCCTCCCGCCAGGGCTCCGACTGCAGGTGGAAAGCTTCAGCAAAGCCCGGATCTGGGGACTGGTCGCTGCCGGAGGCCCCGCCGGAGGCCCTGCTGGAGTCCGAGCTGAAGGAGTTTCTCGTGAACCTGCATGATTTCTACTTCACAAGTGTTTCCACGGGGCTATTCTTTCGTCACGATATTAGGCCTGCCACTGTCCCGTATATATCAATAAATCAAACATAGCGCCTTGAGCGAAGCAGCGAAACCGTCCCCCGTCCAGTTACCGCCCCCGCTGTCGAGACATCCACACACACACACACACACACACACAATGCGGGCAGTGTTTTGGCCCGGTCACGCAGGACGCTAGAGGCTCAAGGTGCCGCGTTCATAGGGGAAGTGAGGGATGGAGGGGAAGAAAGGGAAGAGATAAAGGGATGAAACGTGCCACGGGGGGGAGTGAGTAGAAGTGGGTCAGTGACTCAGCAGGATGACAGCAGAGGAAAGGGAAAACAAAAGAAGAAATAAGAGTGAGGGCAATCCTTCTGGATATTAGGGCACATGTGTCCTACTGACCGACACTGCTACTGCTCGCTCATGCTGCAGAGCTGAGCTGACTGTTCAGTGGGCCAAAGGGTTGGTCCCTGCGGGGCCAACACATGTCCACAGACTGCAGTTACTAGGTGAAGTTGCTTTCTATAGAGGAGAAATAAAAAACATGCTCTGGGGAAAAGAGTGTTTGGTCTGTGTGTTGAGGAAAGAAGAAACAAAGAAAAAGTGTGTGCACTTTCCAACATGCTCAAAGAGCTTCACACACACACAAGCTCAAATCCTCTAAGCATGCACGCAACCATCTACTACCAGCATTCACAAACAGCAGCACACCTGACAAGCAAAAGTGCAACCTGGCAAACATTTTTAATCGCTGCTGTGGTCATTTTGTTTCTAATAAAATAGAACAGTCCTTGACAAAAAACATCAAAAAAACAATGCACGTGATAAAAATAATAGCAATAATAATAGTATTAATAATTTAACAAGTAGTGAATACATATCTAAATATATATATACACCTAAACATATATACATACACACATTTACACAAAAAAGAATATTAAGAGGGAGAAAAAACATTAATAAATAATATATACAATGTGTGTGTACAGTTATACATATAATACAATTAAACAAGAATAGAATTAAATAAATAAATGAAAATAAAATGAATAAATAAATACAAATAAAAGAGAGAAACAGACAGGGTGGCATTTGTATTAGAAGAGGATTAGTTACAGCATTCGTATTAAAGTGTTCATTTTCAGTTGTAGATTTGCAGTCATTTTTTACTTTGTATGAACCTCTTTCAGTCTCTGCAACCACCAGGGAATTCTATATTGCCTACTAGTACCATAGCACTACACATTGAAGATTTGGACAGAGTGTGTTTTATCCGTACTTCTTTTTAAAAGTAAATTCCGGTTTATTATCACTGGGTTTTAGTATTTTTAGGCGACATTGGTAAAAAGAAGTCAGGTGAGGGATAAGGCACGCGAGCAGTCAGAGGACCATGTCGGTTGTTAACAATCCCCCAGGTTACTTGAACTTAATTAGAAGGTGAACGGTGGAATCACAACCCAAAAATGAACCTATTGGACTGTACTCTGTGCTGATTTGCATACATTTCCACAACATACATGTGAAGCCAAGTTCTTGTTTCCTTTCGTTGACATATTAGGGTCAAAGGTTTTTGTTCAGGGAATTTTGGATATCTCTTTGTATCACTCCATAAATTAGAAAATACTGTCGACAGCCATAAAAACAAATCTACGTTCACCATGTTTGCATGAATAAAATGTTGCATAAATCAGGCTATGAACAATATGTAAACAAGCCCCTCTGTTTGGTGCATGTAAGCACTACTGAAGTGGAGATTTCTGGCTTTTGAAAGATATGTTTTGTAAAGTTACAGACATTTTGAAGACACTCCAGGTGAATAGGGTAAAAAATAAATAAATAAATAGATATCATCATGATATTTCCCCAGTTGATTACTCACATGAAGACAATCATTTTTTTTATTACACGTTTTCTGAAATGATGGCGTTATGTAATGGTAACTTCTGGTGAATTTATGAGAAATCTACAGACGCAAACAGACAAAAGGAGTGAATAAAAGTAGTCTTTCCACTAGTCTGAAAGAAGACCTGTTATGGAAGCAAAATAGCCCAAAATCTCTAATTTGACCAGAGCATGAAAAGCAATCTTTTTACCCTAAGGTGTCTCTCCACTGATTAAATGGCAGCCCAATTAACTTTTAATCCTTTTTTTTGACACATTCCTACTCACAAATTTTACCTCGTCAACGATGGGTGTTCAGAGACATACGTGAGCAAGTTTCAGAGCAGTGCTTCCTTTGTAACGTATTCGTAGCGTGTAGAGACACGTTGAGGGTTGTGCTGGAAAACCTGCAGATTTGTTTTTGCCCTGAGAAAGATGGACGCTCCACCACGTATATGTGAAGTTACAAGCTCGTTGATGCCGTAGGTTTTCTGGCAACTCAAACACAAATAGGCCTAACATATGTCACTGACAGTTTACAACTTGTCTCACGTACTCCATAACTCTCCACAAGTCAATACTCCATGAAAGCCCTATTGTTTAATAATCCAAATATGTCATTATGTAAGCTACCTGTCACCCACTTGTCATTTTGTGTATCTCTGTTGAACCCCATTTTCTAAGTTGTTGCAAAACCAATCAATTCTGGATTCACAGCTTTGGGTGTGAACTCCTGTCAAAAGCTCGTCTC